TTCCACCAGGATGAGAGCTTCCCCCCCCCCAACTCCCCACCCTCACCCTCCTCATTAGGGAAATTTGAACCCGCCTTGTTGCGGAATGTCTAGCTCATACATGCAACTCTTTCCAAATAGGTCATCGGCTCGAATCTCAAGACATCATAATGTGTACACTAAGCTTAAACCACCAGTACGCCCAGGCCTGAAGGCGCTGCACTGCGCATCAAGCTTTTCCAAACTGCCAGCGGAGCACTTTCTTTAGTTTTCGGTCGGGTAGGCCTCAACCACCAAATTATTGCGCAATGGAGTAGGCGACGAACGGATGTCTACATGGCTGGGGCCGTGTACATATGGCGGTTTAAACCACCAGTACTTCCACAGGTCAGGAATGCATGCAGCCAGCCATTGCTATAGTGCCGCGGCTTTTCTAGTCAAATGAATTTTGCGGTAGCGACTTTCGGAGGTTCTGGTGGTTCAAGGGGTATGCCCCCATAAAAGACACTCACACATCACTACTGGCCTTTTGATTGGGCTGTACAGCCAGTCCCCTTCCAGGCTTTAAAAATCTCTGATGTGAATGTGATATTAGCCGAAGCCGGGTAATGGCCCTAGCACCTCATATGTTGTGTAATAATTCATGTGGGACGCTGGACCCGGTTTCCAGCACGTGCTGCTCCCCACGAATAGATTGGAGCAAATTGTCCCAAGAAACAAAAACAAAAAAAACAAAAAAAAACAGTTGTAATAAGGGACACTGGGCCCGCTTCTCAGCAGGTGCTGCTCCACCAATAGACGGAGCCACCCTGGGAGACCTTAAGGCAACTGCTCCTAGCAGCATCTCAAGCTGTGCAAAAAAATAAAAATAAAAATGAAAATAAAAATAAAAAAAGGAGGAAGACAAATATGGGGCTCGTCACACAGTATTTTTCTTTTTCCTCAAAGGGTGACCGCCTTGAGATATTATCATTGAAACTGAGTGGCCCAGTCTTCTTTTTTTCTTTTCCCGCAAACTTCTTTTAGAGGGCATCCACTTTACAAGGTGATAAGAGCAGTCTCGCAAGTGGTCCCCCTATGGAAGGCTCCATCTATTGGTGAGGAGCAGCACCTGCTGGAAAGCGGTCCAAGCGTCCCTGATTTTTTTTNTTTTTTTTTTTTTTTTTTTTTTTTTTTTAATTGCTCCAATCTATTGGTGGGGACCCTCACCTGGGGCATGGTCCCACTAGCAACCGGATAGGATAGAAAAGAGTTTGTGTGGCAGTTGAGTGACCGAAATTCATTTTTGTCAAGCACATGTCCAGGAAGTCCCAATCGACGTGGTCATATGCTTTCTCGAAGTCTATGAACAGTATGGCTGCTTGGGCTCTGCGCTGGCGTGCATATTTGATAGTCTCATTGACCAGCAGGATATTGTCCTGGATGTTGCAGTTCGGCATGAATCCCGTTTTATCCGGGTGGATCAGCAGGTTCATGTACGGCAGCAGGCGAATGGTGAGGGCTTTGGCCACCAGTTTGTAGGGGACCGGGAGGAGGGTGATCGGTCTGTAATTTCTAATGTCCTCTTTGTCTCCCTTCTTATAAAGGAGCATCGTAACCCCTTGGCCAATCATACCCCCAAAGGAGTCTCCCTCTTGGACTGCGTTTATGTAATCCATCAGGTCATCTTTGAGGAGGTCCCAGAATGACACCCAGAACTCTTTTGGGAAAGAGTCAATCCCTGGCGTCTTCTCATCATCCATGTCCTCCAAGGCGCCCCATATCTCTGCCTGTACAAACGGCCTATCCAAGTCAGATTTTTGTTCCTGCGTCAAGCGTGAATGCACAGTGTGAAGCAGCTCATCCCTGGCCTGCCGGACGTCGTCGGGGTTTTTTTTTTGAGTATCCGATGTGAACAGGTCCTTTATTTTTTCTATCTCTCTTTTGATTTATCTTTTCTCTTTTTCCAAAAATTCGAATTATCTTCTTCCCCACCTTCTTTTCTCATTTTCTGATTTATTTCATTTATCTTTTCTATTTATTCTGAAAATTTAATTTTCTTTACGGCAACCCTAAATCTGATTAGGTGTTAGTCTTTCTTGCTTTCGGCACACGTTTTGACCCGTGAGAGTAACGAAGTGCTGCCGAAATTTTCTGATTTTCTCTTACTTAGTCTTTTTCGGCACAGTTCGGCCCCATGGGGGTAACGAAATGCTGCCAATTTTTTTGAAAAATCAAATACCCCATCTCTCTCCACCTCCTCACCCACTTATTTACCTATTTATTTACTTATCTATTTATTTATTATTTCTTTATTTATTTTTTGAAAATTTTATTTGCGGCAATTTAAAACCTAGTGTGCTTATCTTGATCTTCCCTTTCCCCTTGGCACATTCTTGACCCCATGGGAGGTAGGGAAATGCTGCCGAAAATTTCAAAAAAATAAATATTATTTTTCTTTTCACATTTTTTTTACTTATTTCCTTAATTATTTTTATTATTTATTTATTTCCTTATTTACTTATATTTTCTCTTGAAATCTCGCTGTTTATTTATTTTTCTCCCGCCTTCCCCCTTCCCTATACTTGCTATTTTATTTTCTTGATTAGGTCACCGGTACCCTACCCTAACCACTTAAACTTCGGTTAGGTTTTCCTTAGGGTTTTTATAGGGTTTAGGGTTCTTCAACCCCCCCCTTACTCCCCGTCGTATTTGGGCACCCTGGACCCGAACCACCCCTCCCCCTTTGACGGCGTTCGCGCTAGCCTTGTTAGCGTCGTCCGCCGCTTTCTACCGCGGACCCCCCCCTACGCCCTCCGCTCACGCGGACCTCTCCTGGCCCCCTCCAGTCCGGCCCGTCACCTCCCCATGGCCGACGGTGTGTCACACACCGCCGACGCGGCGACGACCACGGCACAGGGCTCCACACCCGTGCCGACGGACCAGGGTCACTAGCCCCGAGGGGATTTGCACACCCTCCTCACCTTCCTCCTTGCGCCCATCCAGGCGCAACTCGCGACCCTCGCGCCCTTACAGGCGCAGGTGGCGACCCTTGTCGTCGGCATGCAGCAACTCCAGGACGTTGCCTGCCCTTCATCTCCGGGTCCCCAGTCCTCCGACAGGGTGGCCACGGTGGAGCTTCCTCCTCCGCTGCCCCCGACCCGGCCATCTTGGTGACCGTCCACGCCCCTAGCTCGACGGCCGCCACGAGTCAAGTCCTCCCTCAGTCTACGGGCGCACCCGCCCGAATCCCGGTCACTTCGGCCACGGTACCACAACCCGCTACCATGGTCGCAACTTTTCTGGGTGCCCCACTTCTCCCTCCCCTTCGCACGACCGCAGCGCTACCTGGCTCTCCCCCCCTTCGGATGCCCCGCGCCGCTTATGCGTCCACTTCCTCCATTCTTCCTCCTGCCACTCCTCGCTCGACCTACGTTTGAGGTCTCGAGGGCGAGATTGCCCAGCTCCTGGCCAACCTCGCCCTCTCACGCCTTCAGCCTCCCCCACCCTCACAGGTGGCTGCGCCTTCCGGCGCACCCCCTTCTTCCTCTACTCTTCCTCCCATGCAGGTTTGCTTCCCTCGCCCTGCACCCTACCCATCCCCATCCTACCTCCTCCCTATTCCCTCGGTTGTTGCGACCTCTTCTACCGCAGCTCCCTCGCAGCCTGTCGCAGTTGCCCCCGCCGCTCCCCCATGCGGCCCGGACGCACAATCAGTTGCGCCCCTTTCTCCAGGACCTGCGTCGACTTACTCAGCCGTGACACAGACCTCAACTCCTCGATCCCCTCGCCGCCAAAACGGTGGCGCACCACTCATCCGCTTGTCGGATATTGCCCTGTATGACGGTACAGGCATACGCGTGTCTCGGTGGCTGCAGTCTGTCACCCGCACGCTCCAGTTCATGGGCGCCACACTCGACACGTGGGTGGGTCACCTCTCCACGCGCCTGCATGGCGGTCCTTTCGAGGCCTGGGAGAATTTTTACGCGCACTCCCTCCGCGCGGGTCGAACCCTGAGCTTCATGGATTTCCAGGCGTTCCTCGAGGATCGCTTTGGAGCCCGGCATGACGTGACTGACGCCTTCGAGCGTGTCATCACTACACGCTGGTCCGACTCTGGTGGCGTTGTCGGCCTAGATCGCCACATTCAGGTCTTTTAGGACGTCCACCTCATTTATGACGTTGTGTTCCTCCCCGAGGCTGCCCTTATCGATCGTTTCTTGGCTAGCCTCCCGCTCGAGTACCGCTCCGAGTTATGGCGGTACGAGTTTACATCGGCCCCGCAGGCTTACGAGGCCGTCAGGGACCATCAGTGGATGCGGGCCCGTCTTCACCCCGCCTCCTCCTCCCAGCCCCAGCGTACTGATTACGCCTCCTCCTCCTTCCACGACACTTTCCAGTGCCGTTTCCCTTTCCGCGGTCGCCCCCGCCGTCCCTCACAGCAGGGCCGCCACTTCTCGCGCCGCTTCAGCGAGCTCGAGTATGGTGAGTAGGACGTTGGTGCCCCGTTGTTGCCAGAGGGTGACCATAGCGACGACCTCGACCTCCGTCCACCACCACCTGGAGGATTCTACTCTCCCTATGGCTGAGCGCCTCCAATTCATCCTCTCCACCCTTTCCCGGACACACAGCCGCACTGGTCCCGCTGGCGCGTCGCCCCCCGAGGTCCCTCAGCAGGACCTCCCTCAGAGCTTTGTCCCTTCTCGCGGTGTCCTTTTTGTTGAGGAGCACGCGACTATTTTGGGCCGGCGTGGGTGTTTGCGATGCCGTCCGGATGGTCATACCTCCTCGCGGTGCCCTTACACCACCGCTCTTGACTGCCACTACGCTGACCTTGCCCGCCAGCGTCGTGCTCAGTCCCCCCTCGGCGCCTCGCATCCCCGCGGCGCCTCTTAGCCACGGTGCAATGTACACCTGCGCCCTCCTCAGTAGTCGTCTTCCTGACATCCCCGTCGCGGTTTGCCCCTCTCGCTATTGGAGTTGAGGTCTCGCAGGACCCGATAGAGTGTACTCAACCCTCTGTCGCAGTACCGTCTGCGCCTCCGCAGACCACCGTCTCCCCTCCTTCCCCGCCGCAACTACCGACACGTCGAGCCATTCGCTCAGCCCGTTGCAGCGAGCAGCTCGCTACTCGCGAGGATGTTGTGTCCTCTCTTCTAGACTTGAGCATGCTCCAAGCTCGTCAGCAGCGTCTCACTCTCCATGTCTTTGCACTGCGTCGCCTTCTCACCATCCTCTTTGACCCTGATCGCACCCTCCCGATCATCCCAGTACGACTCGGGACCTCCACGAGGGTGTACTCAGCGTTGTGGGATTCCGGTTCTCGGGGCGACTTCGTTCACCCATGTGTGGTGAAAGAAGTCCGCTTACCCACGACCGGGTTGCCGACTCCCATCTCTGTCACCCTTGGGGATGACAAGACCCAGCGCTTCTTCGATCATATGGTCACCGACCTCCCTTTCTTCCTCACTCTCGAGCCGACCGATCGTTCCCCGGCATCTCGTCGCCACCGCTCCTCTGCACATTTCGATGTGATGGAGACGGGGTACGACTTCATTCTCGGCACTCCGTGGTCTCGTCGGTTCCGCAGCACCGAGGTCGATTGGGCGACCAACACTCTCGTTCTCAAAACGAAGTGTGGACAGACGTATCGCGTACCTTTCATAGGTACCACTGCGACACCACGCCCCGATCCTCCTCCCCCGGAGCCTTCCGTACCCACACCATCTTCTTCTATCACTGTCACCTCGCTTCGGCAGTTCGCCCACTTCATCCGACAGGACGACGTCACCTTCTTTATGGTGAACGTGACGGATCTCTTACACTATGATCCACCTTGTCATGACGCCGAGCTCATCTCTCTGGAGCCAGATCCTCCTTCTATCTCCATGGCTCCTATCTCTACGTTCGTCCCTCCGCCGTCCGCCGAGTCCACCCCGCCGTCGTGCGCTGACGCTGACGCTGAGGAACTCGCACAATATACGGTTGACCTGGAGCCCACAGTTTGTGACCTCATTCGAGAGTACCACGACGTTTTCCCATTGTCGTTCTCGTACGCTAGCATCCCACCGATGCGCAACGTCGAGCATTCCATCCAGCTTGTGTCTGACTATCGTGTTCACCACCAGGCACCCTACACACTCTCGATCCCCGAGGCCATCGAACTCAAACGTCATCTTGAGGAGCTCCTGAGTCTGGGTTTCATTAAACCCAGCAACTCCCCGTGGGATGCACCCGTCCTCTTTGCTTTCAAAGTGGATGAAACTCTCCGTGTCTGCATCGACTGTCGCGGCCTCAACCGCTACACGGTTAAGAACAGCTACCCCATGCCTCGTTCCGATGACTTGTTCGACCGCCTAGCAGGCAACCGCTTCTTTACGAAGATTGATCTTCGTAGCGGTTACCACCAGATCCGCGTCGTTGCAGTCGACCAGCTGAAGACAGCATTCCGATCGCGCTTCGGCCACTACGAGTTCACGGTGAGGCCTCACCAACGCACCTGCTACCTTCAGAGGGCGATGAACGACATCTTCAAGGACACCCTGGAGCAGTACGTTCTCGTCTATCTCGACGATATCCTCGTCTACAGTCGTACCCTTGAGGAGCACCTCAGACACCTCCGCGACATCCTTGACCGCTTGTGCAGACATGGATTCTATGCCAAGCTGAGCAGGTGCCGCTTTGCCAGCACAAAGTGGATTTCTTAGGACACTACGTGTCTGACCAGGGTCTCCACATGGACGACGCGAAGATCACTGCTATTGCGCAGTGGCCCGTTCCCACATCCGCCTAGCAGCTTCGCAGCTTCCTAGGCCTTACCAGCTACTATAGTAATTTCATCCAGGGATACGCTTGGTATTCCTACGTCCTTACCTCCACCCTCCTCCGGAAGAACCCACCCTGGTCTTGGACACCCCTCCACGAGGACGCCTTCCACGCCCTCAAGAAGGCGGTGACATGCGCACCGGGTCTTCGCCTACCCGATTTTGATCGCCCTTTTATCCTTACCACAGATGCGTCGGACTTTGTTGTAGGAACAGTGCTTTCTCAGGTCTTCCCCTCCTCTCCTGATTCCTCTCATCCTCGTATCCCTCGCTTCCCACCACCTACCCCTACCACTGCTTCCCGACTGACGCCTACTTGTCCAGCTACTGACGAGCCCTCTATTGACTATTCTCCTACCATCGCCGAGGACGGCACTGTCGAGTCTCGCTCAGGTGATTGTCCGATAGCCTTCTACTCCCGTCAGCTCCTGCCCGCCGAGATAAACTACACTGCTGATGAAGGTGAGGTTCTCACAGTAGTTTATGCCGCTCGGCACTGGCGTCACTACTTGCACGGGGCACCGTTCACGGTGCGTACAGACAACTCTGTTGTCCAGGTTTTTTTCACAAAACCGAAGCTCACTCCTCGAAAGGCTCACTGGTGGAGCGACCTATCCGAGTTTAGTTTCACCACTGAGCACATCAAGGGTGAGACTAATCGGGTCGCAGATGCCTTATCCCGGCGCCCCGACCATGACCAGGAGCAGATCCAGCTCTCTTCCATCTCGGTCACCTCCGTCCACCACTCGGTGATCGATGAGTTTCGCACTCAGTACCGCCACTGCCCCGACTATCGCGACATCCACGTGACCCTTCGGAGTGGCAAGACCGTCCCGAACTACTCTCTAAGGGACAACGGTCTTGTGTACTGGCACGGTTCACARGGCACCAGAGAGCCCCGTATTTGTGTTCCCTCCACTGGACAGCTACGTGTCCGAGCAGTAGCAGAGTTCCATGACCAGGCAGTCACCGGTCATATGGGCTTCCACAAGACGTTGCCTCGTGTGAGCCGCCTGCACGTCTGGCCGAAGCGCAAGGACTTTGTGAAGGACTACGTCGCAGAGTGTCCCACCTGTCAGGAGGTGAACAGTGTGAACCACCTCCCTTATGGTTTGCTCCAGCCTCTTCCCATCCCTGAGGGTCGTTGGCAGTCCATCTCGATGGACTTTATCGTTCATCTTCGTCCTCCGACCCCCCGCGGTCATGATGCTATCCTGGTTGTCGTCGACCGCTTCACGACCCGTGCACGCTTTGTTCCGTGTTGCTATGCCATCAGTGCACGTGAGGTCGTCGACATCGTGTTTGACCGAGTCGTGCGTGACCACGGCTTACCTCTGATCATCATATCTGACCGTGACCCACGCTTTACCGGCCGATTCTGGCAACGGCTCCACGAGGTGTACGGCACACAGCTCCGCTTCTCCTCGTCTTACCATTGACCGTTGGTCAGACCGAGATCACGAACAGGACTCTCGGAGACATTCTCCGAAAGATTGTTCGTGACGACCAGCAGTGGGATCTTCATCTTGCCCACGCGGAGATAGCCTATAACCACGCTGTCTTACCAGCCACGGGGATGTCGCCCTACTATTGCGACCTCGGCTATCACCCTCGTGTTCCCGCGGACTTCCTTCAACCGTCACAGATGCACCCCGACACGAGTTGTCTCGCGCTGGATGATTGGGTTGCACACATGACGTCGATAATGAAGACCGCACATGACCACATAGCCGCTTCCCAGACTCGCATGGCAGCATGTGCGAACCGATCGAGGATGGATCATCCGTTCAAAGTCAGTGATGTTGTGCTCATCGACGCCCCCCACTTACAGCTCGAAGCGGACACGCTTCACAAGTTTCGGCGTCGCTTCTTTGGCCCATGCCGCATTCTCCAGGCCGTCGGTTCTGGTACGGCATCTAGCCCGGTCAGCTTCCGTGTGAAGCTGCCTGACTACCTACGTCAGGCGCGTGTGCACGATGTCTACCACGTCTCGTTACTGTGTCCTTATCGCAGACCGTCTGAGCGTTTCGCTGGACGACCATACGAGCGCCCTCCACCCATCATGGTGGACGGCCACGAGGAGTTCCTCGTTTCAGACATCATTGGTCGCCGAGTCACCGACAACAACCCTCCCCATGTCGAGTATCTCGTACACTGGAAGGGTTACCCTAATGAGGAGGCTACCTGGGAGCCCCTCGAGCACTTGCAGCACGCTCGCATGTTGGTGCGTGCCTATGACCGTGCTCGTCGTGTTGGGTTCACTGCTCCTCCTCAGCCCACTGACCTTCCTTCTTCTCCCGCGGCTGAGGAGACCGCTGAAGTCGAGCCTCCTCCATCTGAGGCAGATCTTCAGCGGCAGCCGGATGCTTCTGAGCGACCACAGCGCACTCGTCGTCATCCTGCTCGATACGACGATTGACTCTGACTTACCTTCCTACGTCTTTGACTTCTCAGTACTCCATCCATATCAGTTTTTGTTTTTTCAGCTCGTCGACGTTGCGGCTCTTCCTCGACTGCATTCCGTACTTCTCATCGTGGACGTCATCGGCAGCCTCATGGACTTCGTCACGATCAACTCTTCCTACTTCAGACGTCATCACTCTCTTACCACTATACCCTGTACAGTACCCTGGTTGTGTCGCATGATGGTCTCCCTTTAGCCGGGTTCCTCTGAGTTGGGCTCTCCCTTGGTATACGCATAAGCATCAGGACCGTAGCGTTGCCCTGGTTTCCCATCTTAGGGATCTAGCTCCGACTTCCCTCACTTTATGAGTCATTTGCATGATTCTCTTACCTTTCACATTTCTACCCTCTGTCGGCCCTCACGCCCTAGTTAGGCAGCCCCGCATGCTTCATCTAGATGCACCCAGTATACCAGGCTCCCTTGTTCCCTTGCATGGTCGACCCTCCATAGCGGTCACCCCTTAGTCGAGCATTACCCGCCCTGATGGTCTATTTGTTAGGGTCATTGGTTCTGTTCGCTCCCAGTTCCCTACCCTCATTGAGCCTGATGACATGTGTTTCCTCTGTCACTGTGTGTGGATGCCCTTAGGAGTTTTCGACCCCTAGGCTGCATTCGCCACCCTCAGAGACCATCCCATCCTTTGGTTTGTGACACACTTCTCCTGCGACATATGGTTGATTTGTTGTTGCTTGTTTCTCTCAGACTGAGGCTACTGCCTCTGACATTTTTAGGATTTAGTTGTTTTGCTTTGCTGTTCTTAGGACTTATACACTAGTCAGTTGTTCCCAGACTGAGGCTACTGCCTCCAACATTCTAGGATCTAGCTGTCACTACTTTCTGCTTTCCTAGGACATGTATGCTACTTAGTTGCTTCTGCTTTCCTAGAACATGTATGCTTGTTAGTTGCTTCTGCTTTCACTTAGGTTGTTAGCTGTGACATTGCTGTTTCGTGACATTTTCTATCCTAGGTTGCATCGCATGGACTCGGCATGGAGCTTTCTCCCCATCCTAGACTACTCAGGTTTTCTTTTTCTTTGGTAGAGTTTCGCTTCTTGACGGAAGCGTGTTTGTATTTAGGCGATCCATCACAGGCCGAGGATCGTGTAGCGGACCTCTGGTTGGCCTGTGAGACCAGCCCCTTGGTCTGTCCTCACAGGCCTGTGTTCTGTTCGGGGGCAGTCCAGTCCAGGCCAGGCCAGGCCGGTACCTCTGTCGGTACCAGTCTTTCCAGTCCAGTCCCGTCAGTCCGTTGGGGTATACCCCAGCAGTTGTCTGTTTTTTATATCATTCTACAGTTGCACTATTTTGGAGTCTTGCGTGGGAGCTGCGTTGTGCTGTCTCGCTCCTCCCTCATCCTCCATCTCCGTCATCATCCCCAGCGGAGCACCACACCTGGTGGGTCCGCTACAGTCTCTCTACCCATGCGCCCGCTCCTCTCCGTGAAACGCGGATTCCTTTTGTCCAAGGGACCTCGTGAGGTCCCTTGGGCAAAAGGAAGAAATGGTTGGGGAATCCTTGGAGCCCAAGGAATTTCCTTCGGAGTGTTTTCACTTTTTTTTTGCCGACTGCATCCCCGAGGTGGGAAAGAACAATTCCTCGGGGACTTTCCTCGCCCGAGGAGTGTCGAACGAGCCCCTTTGCCCTGCCATAACCTTACCCCCTGTTGTAGGGTATGATTGTTTATGGGAAACTATGGTAGGGCAGAGTTCGATTCTGGCATGCAGAGGGGGCAATCCTTCCCTGCTGGGGAAGCAATCAATGCCCAACTGCGGGTTCTGACTTCGGATTAAACTACCTAGGGTTAGACTTGGATTTTTGTCCAACGCATACCCTCTTTCTCCTGCTGTTCTCCCCCCCTACTACTTCTTACTGTGCCAAGCGGTCTGAATAGTCGCAGTCGAAGCTAAGCAGGGTAGATTTTTCTATATTGTGCGGAGTGGGGCTAATCCTTTATTACTGGAAAGCAATCAATGCCCCTTGCCAGTACTATATGTCTGTCGAATAGGGAAGTTGTCTCTATGGGAGCAGTGGTTGAGGCTCTTCCAGCCCTAATGGGAGGAGGAGTGTGTTTGTGTTGTCTTCGACCTTATAATTTGAGCCTTGGGCATTGGGCCCGTTTTCCCAAAAAAAAAAAAAAAAAAAAAAA